GGGTGCGTGGGGACTAGGGGGTAGGGATGATGTTCTTGTCTCAAACAACTCTACTAAATTTTCCATTTTAAAGAAGTAATTATTATAAGAATATAAGTAAAAATATTGAAACTATACAATACAAGTCAATTGCTTTGCATTATATGTATCATGGGACCCACAAATTAACTTAATAAACATGATTTATTATATAGTTTTTTTTAACATAAATATATATATATATATATATATATATATTAAGATATGTCAACTCTCAACAGGTTTTGAAGGTTACAAATATAATTATAAAATATTTATTTTCTTTATTAAACATTTAATTCCAAATGTTGTGTTTTTACAAAGAGTATTCCAACACCTATACCAAAATTTCTCTATTAAAATTCAAAATTTCCAAAAAGAATTGTATTTTTTTTATTTATTAACCTATATATTCAATTTGCTATGCGAGCCGACTAATCCCAGGATGACCACCTGCTTTGCAGATAACCCGTAATCACTGCATTTGAATCTCCGTGGCCACAATAGGATATTTATTCCTCCTTGGATTTAAACCTGGGACCTGCTGGTACTTTTGACATTTGGAGCCAAGTTCAAACCAATCAGGCACCACCCTTGTGGTTAAAGGAATTGTATTTAACTTCAATAGGTTCTCTATTTTGAAGATTATAACATTTATTATATTATTAAAATATATTATACATTTAATTAGAGTAAAACTAGCGAAATCATCAAAATCTTAATTTTAGAGAGTATGTTAGAAATGCTCTGATACATTTAAATAAGAAGACTAAATATTGTCACTACAACAAAATCGGTTTTTTAGGACACTCTCAAATTCTAAGTGTCCTAATAGACCTCTTTATAGGACCTAGTTTATAAGACCAAAAAAATAAATTGTCATATCTAAAGGTGTTGTAATAAATTTATATGACGTTTTTTGATGTCGTAATAAGTTTCTTAAGACACTTTTAATATAAATCGTCCCATTGTCAATTTTTTTTTGTGTGTCCGGGCTAAAGCCCGACTAATCCCCGGCAAATTTGGAGGCTAAACATGGCCTCACTTAAATGTCGCCAACACTCCCCTCCCAGGGCTCGAACTCGGGTTCATGACTATGCCATGCCCAAGCCTTTACCACTAGGCTGGAAGGTCTTTGATCCCATTATCAACTTATAGAACATTATTTGAAAAACTGTTCTATAAAATAAATGTCCTATAAAAAATTGAGTTTTATAGGACACTTTTGAGAAAGTTGATAATGAGACGTTTTATATTAAAAGTGTTCTAAAAAACTTATTACGACGGCAAAAAACGTCATATAAACTTATTACAACACTTTTAGATAGGACGCCTTTTTTTGTCCTATAAACTAAGTCCTATAAAGAGGTCTATTAGGACACTTAGAATTTGGGAGTGTCCTATAAAACCGATTTTGTTGTAGTGTGTCAGAAATTAAGTACGAAAAAAGTTAAGAAATTTGATGTTTATATTTGAATCATTTATATAAAATCCATTCATACAAACATATATTAACTCATATAAATAACTTGTAACGTCGGTTCACATATTAACAATCTAACAAACAAAAACTAAAACCAATTCTTTTTTATTTATAGATTTAATTTTAAAAAAATATATGATAAAAATAATCATTAGGTGACTTAAACCAATCATTTCAAATATTTCATAGATTTAATGAATACTGAATTTTGTAATCTTAGTTGTGGTTGTTGATTTCTAATTCAATTAATAATTGATAAGTGAGCAACATTTTGGTTCGAATCGTTGTCTTTAACACACCAAGTGCCCAAATCAATAATGGTGTGGACCAATGGCTTAGTATTCATGGTTAATGATCTTGAATATTTGTTATGACGTTGATCATAAATTCTTATCAGGTAAATACTACATAAAACTGGTGGTTTTTTTTTTAAATATTTTAGGTTTTTAAAATTGTTAATAGATTTATGGTTATGCTTAGTGATCACTTGTACTTGATGAAATCCATGACGTGTACAAACTACCAAACCCCACGGGTTTATACAACCACACCCACAACTTTATACAACTACAAAATTTAATTCAAATAGGGACATGCTATTTTATTGTTTTTTTCCTTAACGAAAAATTGTATCCAATTACGATTGTTTAAATAGGGCAAATTTATAAATGAGTAAATTGTATGAAAACGTAGTGTACTTTAACTTGATTTTTATTTTGGGTGACGTACTTTCAAACTTTCGTTTTGGTACCTAACATGTAAAGTTTTAAATTTTTAATTATTCGTGTAATCGGTTGAAGTATTAAACGATTACCATGCTGATGTGGTATCAACTCAATATTATTTGCTGAAGCATTAACCGGATACCACATCACTCGTCACATCAACCGGTTACCCGGATAATTAAATGTTTAAAAAATGTACATCTTAGATACAAAAATGGAAGTTTTGAAAGTACGTTACTCAAAATAGGAATCAAGTTAAAACACGTTACTTTTTCATACAATTTACCCTTTATAAATCTAAAATTTGAATTAGAAAAGTTAAAGTTTGTTTTGTTGGTTTTTCATTAAGTTATGTATGATAAATGTGGATGTGTGGATTAATTTATCTGTATGAATTAAGAGAGTTTTTTTTTTTCCCATAGATGAAATGAGCATATTTTTTCAATTTGGAAGGGAAAGTTTGGAAAAATTTGGCTTTCTACACAAAACTCACCGAATAAACCACTTTCTATATAATCAAGCCACTACCAAATGGTCAAGTATAGTTGACAAAAGAAGTTCTGAGTTCTATTACACTCATTATGCTCTTAAAAAACCGACCTTTATTAGAACTTGAAATAGACCATACGTGTATTCAGCTTTTCCAGTCTATTATATTATTAATATTCAAAAGAAATCACTAAAAGAATTAATAATCGTCATATATGAATGAACACTACACAAACTTAATTAGTGTTAAGATGTATGTATCAGTGGCCTAAAAACATTGGGTTACATTAAGGTGATTTTAGACTACAAACCAAACCAAATATTTAACGTTTGACACACATTTCCTCAAATAAAACTGTAACAAAATATATCCTCGTGTAATAATATTTATATCGTTTTAAACTTAAATAATCGATCACGGAAGGATTAAGGTTGGAAAAGCCGAGTTTAAGGTTTGTTGTCAATTTAATCAAGGTAGGAACTAATTAATTATTGGTATGATTTTATGGTTGAGAAAAGTAAAGACAAAGGCAAACCTTTTCATTAGATTTCGAATTAAACGATTCCTTAATTTTTGGGTATGAGTTTTTTTGGTGATTTGATAGATCTTGGATACCTTATTTTCGAAGCTAAGTAAACTATGCGATCTTTACTACTAACGGGAAGCAAACAAACGAATCATGTTAAGTTCGAACTCTTGGATTATGCTAAAATGTTGGTTTTCGTTATTATGGGACGTGTTTTTTTATGCGCAAATGATAATTTAAATCCTGTAACGGTGACATGAATATCTTTTTTTATGTCGTGGATTTGGTATATACGTAATTAGATGCGTGCGAATCTAGAATTTAGAACATATTTAACGAGTGTAAAAAGATTCGGTAGTAACGACCGATGTGTATGTATACGAACTCATCTATGTGTTTTAAGTTATAGTAGTGACTCAATCATTTATAGGTCATAAAAACAATTAAATATTTTAAATATTATTTATAGGTCATAAAAACAGAGGTTCAAATGCGATGACTACAGGCTACCTTTAAAACATGTGGTATCTTAGGATTAGTCGGCTCGTATTGGATATTCAGGTTAATAAAAAAAAATATTTTTTTTTTGAAAAAATATATGATATTTATATGCATCTCACTAGGTTTAAGCCTTCCATTTCTTAAAGATTTAAACCTTCGATTTTTTAAAAGACTAGAAAGGTACTCGCGTAATACAGCGAGATACATTTTGGTTTTAATATTTTATTTTATTTTTTATCTCAGTCGATGTTATAATATGGTCTTATGTGATTTTGAAAAAACGATGATGTTTTTATTTTTAATAAAATATAAATTTGAAGATATCATAAAAATTTGACACAAATATATCGATATTAGAATCAAATTAACTATTTAAAATTACTCATTTTTTTGTGTAATTTTTAATTCAATTTTTTATTATAATTTAATTTAGGTTCAATAACGAAGTAATTTATATTTGGTTTAATAATATAATTTTCTTATAAAAATAATAATTAATTATTTTGTCAGAACTCGATAATTATCCTAATTTTATTTTAGATTTTTTATATTTTAAAATGAGATATTTATCCTCTATTTGATTATGTTTATCCGCAGTTAGTTACACGAATTCAAACATGGAGCTTTAATAAGTTATACTTGTGCATAATTTGCTTGTAATCTGAAATTTTAAGTAATATGCAGTACAATACTTCATACATAAAAAAATAGTTTTTAAAAGTTTTTGTCAAATGCTTTATATAGTATAGATTAAATTTTATTGGTAACCAAATATTACTAGACGAAAAGACCTTCGGTTCAACTATAAATCCATAAATCTTGGTGATGCTATATATACACCCACATTCATTAATGCAGATCAACCAGAAGTTTACATGAACCCGATCTCCATGAGATTTCACGACTTTCTTTCGGGCCTGGTTGACCCGTCCGCTGGGAGCCTTGCCGTCATCAACTCCTCGACTTTTTTCTGTCCCGGAGTTCTCACCGGAATTTTGTTTTTTTTTTGTTTGTGACCATGACCCTAGGTT